AGCTTCTTGTTCTTCTGTATTAAGCAAGAGCATGGGGAAGGTCCAAGGTGGGGAGACTGGCCCCTACATCTTGATCCCACTTTGAGATCACCAGGCAGCCTCAGGCAGGTGGTCTGAACTCTGTTTCCCTCTCTAGAAATGGAGGGCGTTGATTACACACTTGTATGAACCTCTGAGTCTCGACTCGCCCCATGCCTGAGCCCTGTCCACTCTGACAAGACCATGCTGCTAGTCTGAGTGTGATTCAGACTGATCTGTACCTCTTGCCCCTTCCCCCTTCTTTCCTGCTCTGGTATTTGTAGAAGCACTTGTTTTCCTGGGGAGCCTTTGCCTGTACCCTCAGAGTGGAGGAAGCTCTAAAGAAGCCATAACTGAAAAGTGGGGTCTACAAAGGTGACAGACAGGGCTGGGAGCCCTTGGCCACGGGAGTCGCAGAATAGCCTTGGACTGTGCTATTCAAAATGACCTGAGTAATGGCCCAGCAGCAGGCAGTGGGGTTTACTTGAAAACCAGAACTGTGTTTGAATCTGTGGCTTCAGGCTATTGAGCTCAGCGTTGGCCTTGGCAGCGCCCCACCACCTCCACTTCCTAGGTCTTAGCTGCCCTAGGAAAGTGTGTGGGCCCCCTGACCAACAGTGCTGTGCCTTCCCTCTGTGGCTCCCAGCCTCACCCACAGTGAGACCCAGCTCTGGAGCACACCCCATCTCAAGGCTGCAGGCTGGGTTTAGTCACTTCTGTCAAGCACTCAGCCCAGAGTCTGGGGCTCCATAAATTATTCAGATTACTATAGTCAGTCTCGGTGACCTTATCTGCCAGTGAGGAGCCGAGACCACTCTGAAGGTTGGGGCATGGCTAAGATGCTTAGGATAAATATGTGGCACAGAGGAAGAGCTGGAGCACAGTCCTGGTGTCTTTAAGTGCTCTGAGTCTGCGGTTGGGTGCACCCCACTGCCTGCAGCTCCCTAAGCATTATCCCAGCATCACTGGCCATCAGGGAACCCGGCCCTGGCAACACCAGGACCCAGGAGTTGAGTGGGACAAACCCAAAAACAGCAAGTGTACCTGCAGAGCTGGGAGAATTAGGGTGGGTCTAGAGCAGCAGGACCAGGGACCAGACGAGAGTGAGAAGGGGGCCGTAGGAGGACAAGCCTCAGCCCAATGCTCCGTGGGGGGTCCCTGCCGCACCCAGGCTCCCATTCCCACCCCTAGCCCTTGCCGGTCTGTGATCCTGCTTTGTCCTTTTCCTCAGGTGCCGTGGGGCCATCAGTCCCAGGGCCACACCTGCCCTCAACCAGCCCCCTTTCAGCACTGTTACCTGCACCCTTCTTCCCCCATACACAGTGATGCCCCAACCCACACATGTATCCTTGGAGATGCAAATGGTGGGGCCTCTGCTGCCACAGGTAGAGCTTGGCCATGCTCCTTCCTCCTGTGTGAGGTTGGATAAGAAAGGCCAGATGAAGCAGGTGCCTTCCCCTGCCTGGCGCCTGTCTCTCCACCCTCAGAGGCTGTCCCTTGTGGTTCTGGATGCAAACACAAGCCCAGCTCTCCCTGGCTCAGGCAGAAGGTAGAGTAGTTGGCTTGCTTACCACCATCCTGGCTCACAACTCTGCCTGGTGACCTCACTTTCTCAGGCCAGCTGTCCTTGGAGGCCACCCTCATGGCCACAGGAACCCCCCTGTTGCTTATGTCCATCTGTTCACAGCCCCATGCTACAGAGAAAAGGGAGTGTCCCCAAGGACTCCTGTTAGAAAGGGATAGCTGATCTCCTGGCCAATTCTCATGATAGGTAGGTAAGTCTTGGGCCCAGCCAGGAACACCAAGGTCCCAACCCCTAGGGGTGGTGAGGGGCAGGGGGACAGAGTACAGAAGAAGGAGTGAGAAGTGCCCCCCTACACTGGGGTGTCTGAATGAATAAAGGGTGACCCTGCCCAGGAAGCATGCTCTTCAGCACCACCATTGTTAGGGAAAGGCAAACAAGAAGCCAAAAGGAAGCCAGAGAAACCAGAGCGTGTGCAGATACGAAACTCTGTCTCCCAAGCCTCTGGGGGCTGGTGGGAAGTTCTGAGAGTCACCATGGTGTGGAGGTGCCAAGCAGGCAGTGGCATCTGTAGTCCCCTTCTGGTTTCCCACAGACTTGCTGCCTGATTTGTTTGGTCTCCCATCCCCTCTAAAATCAGTGGCATTATGTTACAAGGGGAAGCAGGAGGGAGCCAGGGCTCCAAAGCACCACTGGGTATGTGCTGCACCAGATGTCTCCTCGTGGGCGTGTCTGTCAGCATCCCGAGCTCCAGGAGCCTCAAGATGAGAAGGCCCTTCAGCAGAGAGTGAATGGAAACCCCAGGAGAGGGGCATCTGCCTGCCCTGGCTTCTGTTGGGAAGCAGCCGTCTTTAACAGTTTCAAAAGGAGAGGCAGATAGCTTGGCTAGCACAGCACAGCCTCCTCTGGAGCAGAGTGCTGTGGATGTTTCTAGATGTTCCAAGTGGGGCTTGGGATGAACCTAGGGCTTTTTCACTACCCATCTCCTGGGAGATATTACAAGCAGTTGACAGCTTCTGGCCACTTTCAGCTCCACGTGGGGCTAGCAGTACCAGGCCATTCGTGCCCTCCCAGAGGCTGTCCCTGCACCTACTTGCGGTGACCACATTGTGGGTCCTCCAGAGGTTGTCTCCACGTGCTCGTTGGCTGGCTTGGGCACATCCTCCCATCCCACCCAGCCTCCAGAGTACACAAGTGTACTGTCTGAACTGGGGGAGAGGGGCTTGGAATTCCCCTCTGCAGGGGCCCTGCCAACATGCCTCACCATCCGCCAAGTTCACTGTGCCTGTCTGGCCCACCCTGCAGAGGCCAGGCATGATCTCTAGCAGGCCCATCTCATCCCCTTTTTCCATGGGAGAGAGGGAAGCCAGCTCTTGCCTGACCAGGAGCTTGTCCAGGTCAGCCTGTGTTCACCAGGCACTGCTCCCTACTGCGTTGTTACAGCCTTGTAGTAATTGCCTCACATGGCGTAGCCCAGGCCTCTCAAGAACATTCTGTTCGCTGTAAGCAGAATTGTCTCCCACCTACCCTGTACAACTGAATGTAGATCTCCAGGGTGAGAGGCCAACAGGAAGATCAGAGAGCTAAGATTCCCCAGAGGTTTCTGCAAAGCCTTCTAGGAGGCAGAAAATCCTTCTTAAGCTGGGCACTTCATATGCTCTGCCAGCTCTGTGTAAAGGCCCTGTGGACCCTGAGCTGCAGCAGATACCACTCCCAGGGACCCACTGCCAGTCACAAACCCTCCCCCACCTTCGGAGGGACTTGCCTTGAGTGGTCTTGGAAAGAGTCAGAGGAGAGTGGCAAGCCAGGAGGGCTTCCAAGAGGAGGTGCACTACAACTGGGCAAAGGAGGTGGGGAGGGCATCAGCAAAGGCTGCCGCAAGGCATGGGATTCATGACCTGTGTCGGACCAAAGGGTGTGAGGGCAGTGAGTACCTGGAGTGAGAGAGGAGGAGTGGGAGGGGCAGCCAGCCCTGACTGCAGCCTTCCAGGAGGGCTTCCAGCATGGCGAGAAGAAAGGGCCTTTGATGATGATTAGCCAAAGGTGAAACAAGCCACCTCGAAAAATGGCAAGCCCCCTAGATGTTCAGCAGAGGGGGGCATCTACCTGGCACAGTGCTGGCAGATAGGCATTGGGTCCCTGGCGCCGAGTATCTGGGAGTCTCTTGAGGCGGTGGCATGGTGCCAGGCCCCTGTGACCCTGTCTCTATTGTCTCTCCTCGCCAACTGGCCACACTTGCTGGAGGAGCAGGGCTGCTTCCTTTGGCTTCTGGGCAGTCATCATACTCAAACCCACCTCCACTGCAGCTTGGAGGGGCAAATGTGGTTCTTTTATCCATCTTTCCCTGATAGCTACACAAAAAGCATGGGAGGACTTCCCTACCCCAGGTGCTTGTAAGGGTCTGGCCTCTAGTTTGGGGGTACACTAGAAGAGAAATCCTGCATCTGGCCTTCCAAGTCTTTATAGCAGTGGTTCTCAACCTTCCTAATGCCGCAGTGTATTTTCATTGTTACAAAGGGGTCGCGACTCACAGGTTGAGAACCGCTTCTTTAGAAGTTCTGCAGGGCTAATGGGGGTATTCAGTAAACTCTAGGGGCCCTCTGTATCTGAGGTCCGCTCTGCAGCATAGCTGTGCAAGGCTCAGTTGGGACCCTGTGAGGGACACTGTAGCATCTATGAAGCCCAGCCCTTCCCCTGGTAGGCTGTAGGGATAGTACTTTCCCAGCCACTGCTGTCACACCTGGGCCATTTGGGGCAGGAATTTTTCCAGGGTGTCAGTTATAGGGGTCCACCCATGGTCTACTGGCTTGTTCCAGAGCCTCCTTAGCATCCACGTCACTCATTCCAATGGTCATTCATGCCTTTCCCACACCTTTACTGGACCCTGAATACGTGTCTGAGACCATGCTGTTCACTAGGACACAACAGGGAACCAGACCCTGAAGCTGGCAGCAGAGAGAGGGTGCCCAGGGCTGCAGCAGGTTCAGCCAGACTGAGGGAGAGGAAGGGGCTCCCAGAGCCAGCCCTGCCCTGGTTCAGCCTTCACAGAGGAGTGGAGCTGCAGTGATTTCTCTGAGCAGAGGTGGGCCCCATGCCATCGCCTTCCTGCAGCCCCCTTTTGACCCAGCAGCTCCGTTTCTAGGAAGTGGTCCCACAGAAGGGTCAGCTCCCTGGCAGAGAGGCGGGAGCACTAAGTTCCTTGGTGTCTGTCTTAATGTGTGATCAGGCTCAAATTACACAGCCACACTTAGTGGGAGGCTGTGGAGCAGTGGCTGTGTCATCTAGATCAGGGCAGAGTGGGAAGCACTGTCTCTGCCTTGGGACAGTGAGAGGTGTCCAGGAAGCCCCTGGTTGCTTCTGGCACTGTGGCAGTTTTCAGGGAACCCGAGGCAAGGGTGTCCCTAAGGCTTTGGCCACAGCAGCCTCCCTCACACATCTGCCCCCCACCCCCACCCCACAGGGCATCTGGCGGATCCCCGTGGATGAGATCGACCGGCCAGGCAGCTTCGCCTGGCATATGAACCGCTCCATCGTGCTGCTGCTTAAGGTGCTGGCCCAGCTGCGGGACCACAGCACACTGCTCAAGGTGTCCTCCATGCTGCAGCGAACCCCAGACCAGGGCAAGTGAGTGCTGCCACCCTGGGCACAGCCCCCACAGTCCTGGAATACTAGGGAGTCTTTACTGTGTCCCAGCCAGAAGGCCCGCTGGTTGGGAGCCCAGAGCAGCACTTCTCTTTCTTCAGGGTTCTCTCTGTTCCAGTGTCAAGAGCTCACACAGCCCCCCTGCCCCCGGCCCCCTGGGACAGATAGAGCTTCCCCATTGATCCAATTACCTGTCAAGATCTTGAGGACCCAGCCTGGCCTTCCCTCCTGCTTTCCCCTGCTTGGGCTTTCGGAGGTACCACCAGGTCACAGGGGAAAGAGATGTTCAAGCAGTAGCCGTGGTACTGCCAGACAAAGGCCAGTGACAGAGGGTCTGGGTCTCAGGGGTAAGCGGGGTCCTTCTGCCAGAAAGGGTGGGATGGACAGCACATCAGGGCATCGCTATAACTGCCATTGACAGGGAAGGATCCCTGGAGAGATTCAGCTCGGACACAGACTAACCGCCTGTGCCTGTACTGCCTCACTGAGCTCAGGGCACATTGGAGGCCTCCCCACCTCCCCCCCAAGCCTGCTGAGTGTGGAGGGTACTCAAGGGAGGCTTCATGCACCCCAGCAGGTAGAACAAGGGAGAAACAGGCATTCTCAGGGCAGCGACAGAGCACAGGGCACCATCCCACAGTGCTGTGTGGTGCCTGACACTCTGCTGTCCTCTCTGGCCACCCCATATGACTGCAGGAAGTATCTGCGAGATGCTGACCGCCAGGTTCTGGCACAGAGGGCCTTCATCCTCACTGTGAAGGTGCTGGAGGACACACTGAGCGAGCTCGCAGAGGTACCCAGCGCTGCTCCACAGCCCATGCCTGCGCCCCCAGGCCCTTCCCAGGTGCTGGCCCTCACCCCGCCCTTGTCCCTGTGTCCACCTCTGGGAAGGAGCTGCCATCCTCCCTCTGCCCAGGCAGGGGAGACAGAAATGGCACTGACCATACAGTACACAGTCGGGCACTGACGTGCTTGCTAAGGAGCAAGAGCCACCGTGACCTTCCACGGGCCTGAGCTCTTGAGCAGCGCGTCCCACCCCAGGTGTTGTCCCGAGCCTGAGCCCTCCCCCTGGCATGCTGACCCAGGCCTGTGAGAGCCCGGTGTGCACTGTCCCTTCCTTTCCTCAGAAGTGGGTACAGAAGAGCCTGTTTCACAGCTGTCACCTCAAGGCCCGGGGGGCTAAGTCACTGGCCTGGCGACTCCAGAGCTTGTGCCAATGGGGCCCCTGTGGCTTGGTACAGGGGCTCAGGACAGCACCCTAAACCTGGGGAGGGAGGGGTCCTCGCCAACTCCCACCCAGGTCTCATGCACTGGGGCCAAGAAGACTTGGCTGTGTAGCAAGCACACTTGGTGGTCCTGGGCAGGTCCCCTTCTCATAGAACACCCAGAGCTGCCCCAACGCTCACATCTGGGGGCAACGGAAGTACAGAGGGGTCCCCAGGCAGGTCTCCAGGTCAAGCGTCCCCCTCCATAGCCCTGCCAGCTAGCAGGTGTCCAGAGCCAGATTGATGTTAGGTAGGAGAGGCCAGGGTGGGCACACCAAAGGCATGGAGGTAGAGATACCAAAGATATGGTCTTATCTTTTGTTTCCTCACAGGGGTCAGAACGCTCTAAGGCCTGTGTCCTCCCAGTAGCCAGGATGACCACCGATGTCTCACACAAGGCCAGTCCCGAGGATGGCCAGGAGGGCCTTCCTCAACCCAAGAAGCCCCCTCTGGCTGATAACTCAGTGCCAGGGCCTGAGCCAGGGGGAAAAGTGGGTCCCATCAGTCACCGGCCTGTGGCCATGGACGCAGGAGATAGTGTAGACCAAGGCAAGGAGTGGAAGGACAAGGAAAGACCCCGGGCTGGGCCCACCGAGCCCATGGACACAGGTGAGGCTGCTGGTCGCCACTCAGACTTGGAGCAGACACCACCCCTGCTGCCAGGCCAACCGCCAAGGGACCGGGGCCCTGAGAGCCGGCCCACTGAGCTGTCTCTGGAGGAGCTGAGCATTAGTGCCCGGCAGCAGCCCACCCCGCTCCCCCCAGTCCAGCCAGCCTCTGTCCCCACTGCTGCCACCACCACAGGGGCCAGGGGTGGCCACCCTGAAGAGCCACCTCCACGGCACAGCCGCAAGAGGAAGCTCCTGGAGGACACAGAGCTGGGCAAGACACTCTTGCTGGATGCCTACCGCGTGTGGCAGCAGGGCCAGAAGGGTGTGGCCCACGACCTGGGCCGCGTGGAGAGGATCATGTCTGAGACCTACATGCTCATCAAGCAGGTGAGTGGTGCCTGGAGGCCCTGCCCTCACTGTTCTGTTCTCAGGGCAGTCAGCTCAGGCTGCTCACACCTGCCAGGCCTGCCCTTGGGGTGGGTTTTAGGCATTTCCACCCTAGCACCACTATTCACATTCTGCAGTGAGCTCCCCAAAGTCTACATTTAACCTGAAAAGGAGCAAGACCACATTGCAAAACTTTATCAAATCCAGCGCAACAAGCCAGGACCTCATCCCGCTGCTGTACTGGACCCACAGGCACAGCTTGGGGCACTTCTTTTAAGGCAGAGCCTCACTATGTCACCCTCAGTAGAGTGCTGTGGAGTCACAGCTCACAGCAACCTCAAACTCTTGGGCTTAAGAGATTCTTTTGCCTTAGCCTCCCAAGTGCTGGGACTACAGGGGCCCATCACAATGCCTACCTATTTCTTTTTTTTGTAGATGTCATTGTTTAGCAGGCCTAGGCTGGACTTGAACCCGCCAGCCCTGGTGTATGTGGCTGACGCTGAGCCTGCCTGCCTTTTTAAAAATTTTATTTTAGGCTCAGCACCTATAGCTCAAGCGGCTAAGGTGCCAGCCACATAAACCAGAGATGGCGGATTCAAATCCAGCCTAGGCCTGCCAAACAACAATGACAACTATGACCAGAAAATAGCTGGGCATTGTGGTGGGCATCTGTAGTCCCAGCTACTTGGGAGGCTGAGGCAAGAGAATCGCTTGAGCCCAAGAGTTACAGGTTGCTATGAGCCGTGACACCATGGCACTCTACCCAAGGTAACAAAGTAAGACTTGATCTCAAAAAAAATTTGATTATCGAGCACACACCTTTTTCTCTGTTTAAATTTATTCCCATAGGAGGAATCCCCACAACTTCCATAACTCTCAAATGGGATGACCATCCTGAGATACTGCCATGTCATTGCAGCCCCACTTAGAGACTGCCATCCAGTGATGACTTTCATGTGTCTTTGTTGCTAATTCCTTAGAAAAACTCCCAGTGCCACCTTCTTTGCTGGTGGGAAGGGTCCTTTTCCTGCCATGCTCGCTCCCCTGGCCTTGCCCAGCAGGGTGCCTCCCTCCCTCTACCTGCTGCTCAACTAGAGTAACCCACGTGCCTTCCCAGTCTCATATCACCCTTGGGTTCTCGGTTACCCAAGACACACTTGGCATAGCATAGATGGTCCCCATCAGGCCTAGGATTCCAAAAGGCTCCTCCCACTCTGATACAGCCCTCTATCCTACCCACTTCTGGGACAGGTTTGAGCACAGAAGAGCCCCCTCATCCCCCAGCAGCTGGGCCTCAGCCAAATTTGAAGGCTTGCTTGGGGCTCTGAGTCCTTGAAATGAGTGTGATGAGTGTGGCATGGCTACCTGAGTCCAGAGGGGTGGCTGGATGCAGTCCTGGCACCAGTACCTGGTGCTGTGGGAGCTCGGCCTGCACCCTCACCCAGGCCGTGGATGGGCACCTGCCCCTGTTTCCTAGGCAAGGCCGGGGGTCTCGGTGTAGTCAGCAGTGGGCACTCCTCATGGGAGGCTGGGGTGGAGGCAGGCACCAGAGCCACATGCTCTGGGCTGGTGTGTGCCTCCTGCAGACAGGGCTGGGATGAGGCAGCCCCTGTGGCCTGGGTCCCCTGACTGCAGGCATCTTGTTGCTCAGGTGGATGAGGATGCTGCACTGGAGCAGGCTGTGAAATTCTGTCAGGTCCACCTCGGGGCTGCTGCCCAGAGACAGGTAAGCCAGGTCCGGGTTGTGCCAGCCTCATCTAATGGGACCTGCCCCACTTCTCACCTTGGGATGCAGGTGAAGGACAAGGACACACCTGGGACTGCTCCTATGGTCAGCTGTGGGCCAAGGGTGATGGGCAGGAGTAGGCTGCACCCTGGGCCCACAGGGAGCACCCTGACTCAGACATGCGTGTAGGACCTGAGGGGTCTTCTTGCCTCAGCTCCCTTTTCCCTAAGTCAGGAAGGTGGCCCCTAGCACCTGACCTCCCTGGAAAGGTGGTTCTATTTGGGACAGAAGTGCAGGGAAGTAATGGTAGAGCCAGACTAATTAGGGGCAAAGTGGCTGAGGGCTAGGGGGCAAGGCAGAGACAGCCTGAACAGGGGCCCATGAAGGGGAGGGTGTTGGGGGGGGGCAGGGGCTCATCCTGAGAGGGTGGGTGGGAGTCCTGGGTTTATGGAACAGGGGAAGGAGCGTGGTGACAGTGGCACTCTTGGGTGGTGCAGAGGCCAGGCCAGGGTTGAAGGGTCCAGAAGATGGTGGCAAGAGTGGGTGGTAGCACAGTAGCAAGCAGACCCCTCCTGGGGTACACCTAGTACAGCCCAAGCTGGGGTTGAAGTTGGGCCTGTGTTGGGTCTGAAACTCTTTCAAGGGAGACAGTAGGAAGTTAGAGGCTCCCACCTGGTGTAGTTGCCCCTGAAGCCATGGAGGCCGGGAGAGGGCACAGGCAGGGCTGAGCACAGATGCAGAAGGGAGATTGGAGACAGGTCAGAACAGTGTCCAGGAAGGAAAGTGTTTCCAGGCACCAGCCAGCCAGCAGGGCCACGGCAGCAAAGATGGGGCCCTGGACCAGGGCTGGGGCTGAAAGAGATGAGTCTCCATGGAAGAGGCCCTGCTCAAGGGCAGGCCAGTGGGCGGGTCTGGCTATAGGGATGGGTCCAGATGACTGAGGAGGTTCAAGGACTAGAGCAGAGCTCAGTGGGAGGGTGTGTGGAGAGGAGTGCACATGGTGGTCAGAGAACAATGGCACCTGCCTAAAGCAAAAGCCTCCAGGTGTGCATATGGGGTGGCTCGCCATGTGAGTATCTACAGCCTCTTGTCTAAAGAGTGGCCTGACCATTCCAGGAGGACTTGTCCCCCATCTGCTGACTGGTGGCCACCCTGGGTCTAGACAAGCTTCCTGTGAGGGAAGTGGGGCATCAGCACCACCCCTGCCTGGGCTCTAGATCTGAGAAAGCCAAGGGGTCCAACTTTGACCCAGCAGGCTGTGGGCCGGACAGGGGACACTGAGGGGAGTAGCTGGGCCTACTGCCCCAGCTGGGGCCAGACTCCTTGACAGGACATGCCCAACCACTTCAGTTGCCAAAATAGCCAGAGTTTACCTCGAAGCTGTCGTGGCCTCCCTGCTCCATTGGGACAAGAGGGACTTCGAGGGCTCCAGAGCAAGGCTCCAGTCCAGGCCTGCTAGGGGAACCCCCTGTCTCCTCCCCTGGCCCAAGGGAGGAGGTAGACATTTGAGTGGTGACCAGGAAAGCGGAGGGCTATTTCTGTAAAATGACAAGCCCACTCAGGAAGTCTCCCAAACCTACCCCTTCTTTAGCCTGAGAAAAAAGGGGTGTTCAGCTGGCAGGGCCAAGGACAGGAAAGAGTCCTCTTTACTGAGCCCACAGAGGAGCTGAGGCACACACCTCAAGTTCCATGAGTGGCCAGGCAGAAGTTTCTGTCGGCAATGCTCAAAAGACACAGAGTGGGTCACAGGAGTAGCCTGAGCCAGGGACCCAAGTCCTGACCTTTGGGTCTCCTGCTGGGTGACATCAGGCTAACCCCAGCAGTCCCCTCCTGGGGTGTGAGAGGGTGTGGGGAGAGGTGACTGTGGTGTCTTCCCCAAGTTCCTCTCACTATGATTCCCACCTACAGCTCCTACCTTGGACCTGAGAAGGTGCTCTGTGTCCCGCTGTGCTCCTCCAGTCCTGGTTCTCCCCATTGCCCCATCCATCTCAGTGTGGGTGGAGGAAGCAGGGCACCACCTCAGGGCCCCCAACAGGTCTACCCCACCCATTACCCCAACCCCACAGGACCCTACACCCAACCAGAAGCCATCCCAGGGAGGCAGGTGGGACAGTCACAGCCATCATTGACCCTCACTGGGGAGAAGACCATGGCCATCAGAGCCCACTCCTCCTGCCCCTTGGGGCATTTCCATTTTGCTTGAAGCATGTCCCAGTTGCCATGGCAGCCTGGTGCACGCCTGGAGGGTACTCTGGACATAATGAGCAGCCCGGGGCTGTCACTCACAGCTGAAGCTCACCCCTGAGTGAGGACAGGGCACAGCACTCATGTTGCCCTGGCACGTCGGCTCACACTGCCACCTGGGCTGCAGTAACACTACTGGTACCACCAGGGGCCCATGGGGCCAGAGAGACAGATCTGTCCTCCCACCCCACCAGAGCCCTGGCTTGGGCTCATCCCAGACACCCTTGGTGTGAATGCCTTAGTGCCCGTCCTTACCATGTACAGCTGGGGACAGGGCATTTCACGCAAAGCAAATGTCAGGGCTCGACGCCTATAGCTCAACCAGCTAAGGCGCCAGCCACGTACACCTAAGGTGGCGGGTTCGAATCCCCAGCCCGGACCCGCCAAACAACAATGACGGCTGCAACCAAAAAATAGCCGGGCGTTGTGGCGGGCGCCTGTGGTCCCAGCTACTTGGGAGGCGGAGGCAGGAGACTCGCTTGAGCCCAGGAGCTGGAGGTTGCTGTGAGCTGTAATGCCACGGCACTCTGCCCAGGGGGACAGCTTGAGGCTCTGTGTCACAAAAAAAAAATAAAAAAAATTAAAAAAAAAGCAAATGTCAGAAAAGATGGTCATCGCTGGAAGAAAACTACCTCAGAACTACCAGGGTACCCACCAGCAGGTGTGACACTCGATAGCCCTGTAACAGGCTGGCTCAGACAGTACAGTGGGTCTGGTGCTGGTGATGGGCTGGGGGCTCTGCTAACACACAGAGGCCCAGCCCTCTGCTCAGCTGTCGAGGCCACCTTGGGGGTGCCCTGCTCACCTGGCCTGGAGACTGGCTGTCAGGGCACATCTATCCCACGAGGACTGGGCTGGATGTGAGGCTCAGGAATGGTCCCACAGCAAAGACTTGGAGAACTCAAAGGAACTCTTAGCCTTCACTGCCTTAGTCTCCCCATCTGTGACAGAGGACGGTGAATTGGGAGTGGGGCCAGATTGCAGCAGAGCCTGAGCTGGGTGGCACCGTGGATAGGGTCACAGTGGGTACAATATCTAGCCCAGGAGCATAGTGAGCAGACCCTGGAGCAGCCCCTGGCATCCCTGATTCTCCCACTAGTGGCCCCGGGAAGTAGCCCTCTTGAGACCCACCACCAGTTCCTCCGGTTCCCAGATGGGGAGCTACACCCTCACACCTAGAGATGGGTCTAGACACACTCCTCCCATATGGGTTCCTGGCCCTCTGCTGAGTCTAGCATGACCTGGACGTCCTCCCAGGGAGGGAGTGCTAAGTCCCCAACTGTGTCATGGTGTCCACAGTAGCCTGGCAGGGAGCTCCTGGTGGACCTCATTGGCAGCACCATGGGGCCCAGGGTGTGGGCCTGGGAGGCTGTGTTGGAGTCCCTGGCTCTCCTGGGGTATCCTGAGGGGCAGCATGGGCTCAGAGCTGCCTGGCTGGCCTTCCTCACCTCTCCTCTTCCTCACAGGCTTCAGGGGACATGCCTACCACCCCAAAACACCCCAAGGACAGCCGAGAGAACTTCTTTCCTACGGCAGTGGCCCCAACAGCCCCTGACCCAGTGCCAGCCGATGCTCTCCAGCGCCCCAGTGATGCTCACACCAAGCCTCGCCCTGTACCGGCTACCACCACAGCTGTTGTCACCTGCCCTCCCTCAGCATCAACCTGTACCCCAGATCCCCCCAAGGACCCTGGGGCTCCCCTGCCACACAGACCCGAGGCCACCCCCAGTGTGGTATCTCTGGGCCCAGGTAAGCCCCATCCCAGCCTGCCTTGTGGCATGAGGCCCCCACTCCCAGCTGTGCCAGAGTCTGGCCAGGCTCCTGTCACCGACAAGTCCTCACTGTGCTGAGAGGGTGGGCAGCAGGGAGGCAGGGGTGCCCTCCAGCCCTGGTGGGCCATTCACCTGTCACTGGCGGCATCGGTAGCCCTGGTCAGCACGTCCTATATTAGGCACTCTGAGCCCTCACTGTCTCAGTCTCCCGTCTCTGAAAGAACGGTGAGTCAGGAGAGAGCAAGTAGCGTTCTGGGACTGTTGGCTGCTGTCATGTCTCCTCCCCACAAAGCGTAATGACACATCAGGATGGCTAGGTCAGGTAGGAAGAGGGGGAACTAGCTCAGACCAGGCCTCCCTGGGAGCACACCGCCAGGCCACCCACACCCAGCCACAGATGTCTGTGAGCACTTCTGGGCACCAGGCCCTGCTGAGTGCTGGCCCTTTACACCCCAGGGGCAAGGCAGCTGAAGTCAACCAGGATGAAGGTAGGGGCTTGTGAAGAAAAACAGACAGGACAGGGGTGTGGGCAGTAGAGGGCCCTGCTGGCTCTGTTGTGGGAGCCTTTGTTCCTTCTAAAACCCAGAATCCATTGGATCAGCAGCCTGCCCAGCAGAGAGACAAGGCAATGCCCCTAAGGACAGTGAATTAAAAGGCAATGGGCAAGGCACTGTCACCTCCACTTGACCCTGAAAAACCTGCAGCTCTGAGAGCTGTGATTCTGTCATCCAAAGCCCGGGGCCCTCCCTGTTCAATCTTGGGACCCATAATAGGACAGGGACATTCCTCAACCAGTTCGTCTCCCCATCTGCAGCGGTCTGTGGGGAGCATCCTGGTCAGTGGGTTTCCCATGGCCTCCCTGACCCCCCCTTTTGGGTCCTCCCCTGCTTCTCCTGCCCTGCCTCAGGGGCCCAGCTGGTACTGTGCCCCAGGCTCTGCTGGCCCACAGCAGGTCATGCCTGGAGGCTTGCCTGTCCTCCCACCATGAGGCCTAGGGTTGAGGATCACATCTTGGGTTGGTGCTTCCCACCATGTAACCCTGGCTGTATCATTCTCCAACTCATCTGAGCAACGAGGAATGGCTGCCCCGGATTGAGAGCCTCACAGACCACATGGCTGGAACGAGGCAGAATTGGGAGTTCTCAGCCCTTTCCCGCTGCAGATGGATCCGGCATTGGCCTGTTAGCACTGGGCCTCCCCAGTATGCTGTGAGGAATGGCACAGTGTAGGAGTCCCCAGCCCAGCCCCTTCAGTTGTGTTGCTTTGGCCTTGGGAGATGAAGGAGTACTTACCCTGGGCTCTGTCTCTGTGGCTGATGCTCTAAGAGGAGCCTCTGAGGGCTGTAGGACAAAGAGCAGTTTAAGATCTGTCCTTGATGGCCCCTCTTCTCTGTCCCTCTGCATCAGTTTCCTGCATAAGTGTATGAAATGTAGATGCCAGCCCTGCAGGATTCACAACAGTGCTGGGCAGAGCGTGAACAGACTAGAGGGGCTGGTGGTGGTGATTTTTCAGAGTATCTCACTCCCACGTAGAAACCCAGCTCTTGTCCCTCCACCCGGGTGTCTTGCCTCTCATTATCTTGAGGATTTTGAGGATCAAGAACTCACAAGGGGCTTAGTGGGGTAGACCTGGCTCAGGTGCTCTCCTGCAGTTGCAGTCAAGCTGTCAGCTGGTCATCCTAGCTCTCGGGGGTATTGGCAGCCTCAGGTCCTTGCTGCCTGTTGGCCGGGGCCTCAGGTTCTTCATGTGCCTCCTCTGTATCTGTGTGTCCTGGTGGCTGGTTCTGCCCAGAGGCAGCAGCCCTGCAGAGATAGCACAGCATCTTCTATCACCTCATCTCAGAAGCAGCTGACCAGCACTGTGGGCTACATGCATGTCCCAGACACAGGGTGGGAGGGGTTCCTCATGGATGGAGGCCAGAAGGCAGGGCTGACGGAGCCACCTGGAGGCTGGCTGGCTGCCTTTCCTCTCCACCATAGCTGTCCCACCCCAATTTGGGCCAAAAGCTGCAAGTGACATCCTCATCTCCCTAACCATCCAGCGGAGGGAAGAACATCTGTCTGTTAGTCTGCACTCTTCAGTTTTCTTACTTTGTTATGTGTCCTTTCCTGGTTTTGGCATCAGAGTGATATTTGCTTCATAGAAGGAGTTGGGAGGGTTCTTTCCTTCTCCATGTTTTGGAATAGATTCTGCAGTGCAGGTACCAGCTCTGCTTTGAAGATTTGGTAGAATTCTATGAAACCATCTAGTCCAGGACTTTTTGGTTAGAGATTTTTTTATTGTTTCAATATTGGAGCTTGAAATTGGTCTGTTCAAGAATCCTGTTTCTTCTTTGTTGAGTCTAGGGAGGCAGTGTGATTCCAGGAATTTGTTCGTTTCATCCACGTTTTCAAATCACTGAGCACAGGCTTGGTGCCTGTGGCTCAAGTGGCTAACGCACCAGCCACATACTGGTGTTCGATGGCGGGTTCGAATCCAGCCTGGGCCCGCCAAATAACAATGACGGCTGCAACCAAAAAATGGCCGGGCGTGTGGCGGGCGCCTGTGGTCCCAGCTACTTGGGAGGTAGAGGCAGGAGACTTGCTTGAGCCCAGGAGTTGGAGTTTGCTATGAGTGTGATGCCACAGCACTCTACCCAGGGGGACAGCTTGAGGCTCCGTCTAAAAAAAAAAGAAAAAAATCACTGAGCACAGAGAACTTTGTAGTATGTCATGAAGATCTTTGCTGTCTCCGTGGTATGGATTGTTATTTCTGCTTTTTCGTTTCTGATTGAGCTTATCAGGTTTCTCTTACTGCTTTTCAGTTTCTTGTTAATCTGGCCAGGGGTGTATCAATTTTGTTTATCTTTCCAAAGAACCAACCTTTTGTTTTATTAATCTTCTGAATGATTCTTTTGTTCTCAAGTTTTTAAAATTCTGGTCTGGTTTTGGTTGTTTCTTTTCTTCTGCTGGGTCTGGGGTGGGATTGCTCTTCCTTTCTCAGTTCCTTGAGATGAGTCATTAGATTGTTGACTTGCACTCTTTGATTTCTGGACGTGGGCATTTAATGTGATAAATTTCCCTCTCAGGACTGCCTTGGCGTATCCCAGAGGTTTTGATATCTGTGACTTCATTGTCATTCTGCCCACGGAATCTAATGATTTCTTTCTTTATCTGCTCTTTGACCCAGCCATTGTGTAGTAATAGGTTGTTTAGAGTCCGTGATTGTGTGTGAGGATGAGTGTGTCTGTTGGCACTGAGTTCTTCTTTTACTCCATTATGGTCCATAAAGATACAAGATATAATTTCTATTTTTTTTTTAAATTTGTAGAGGCATGGTCTGTGTCCTAGGATGAGCTGATGAGAACAGTAGTATTGGGGTAAAATGTTCTGTAGATGTCTGTTAAACTCACTTGTTCCAGAGCCGTGTTTAAGTCCAGCATTTCCTTATTTAGTTTCTGCTTGGAGGAGGATCTTTCCAGATCTGTCAGGGTATTGAAGTCACCAGCTTTTGTGGTGGTGTTGGTTATCGTATTGTTCAGATGAAGAATGTTAGGTGCCTATATGTTTAAATTTGCCTGGGCACAGTGACTCATACCTGTTATCCCAGCACTCTGGGAGGCCGAGGCAGGTGGATTGTCCTGAGCTCACAGGTTTGAGATCAGCCTGAGCCAGAGCAAGACCTTGTCTCTAAAAATAGCCAGGTGTTGTGGCAGGTGCCTGTAGTCCCAGATACT